ATGAGATCATCTAAAAGAGAGCTAAGAGATTGCTGACTCATTATTACCTCTCAGCACCCAGTGTACACAGGGTTAAAGCAGCAGGATACGAATAAACTACTTTGCAGCTGATTATATAATATATTATATATATTATAATTAAATTACAATTATATAATATACTAATCTGCAGTAATATGGAGCCAATATGTAGCTGACATGGTAAATATAATCAACAATAATTTCAGATTAAAAGTGATTGGAAATCAGATCAGTCACCAAAGTCACATCCCTAGTCCTGTAGTTTCCAGCTTCACAACTTTTTAACTCACCACAGTATATGTCTCAGGTCTCTGTAGAATGGCAGAGCACTTTAAGGGAGATGATGGGTAGAAGGAGTTATTAAAACTATTAGTGACAGACAGCACAGTGCCACGTGTCAGAAACATACAATGTCTCTTGTTACCCCTGGCTTTATAGATATTAATTATTAATTTGAGTAAATCCCTTTGCTTAATAAGCCCTCAGACAGTCACTATGGCTATTAGTGGATAGAAAAAATAATATTATACACTTACATACCCCTGATGGAAACTCAATGGAAATTTCTTCTTAAAGGACACTAGGCAAGTGCAAAACCTGTTTAAACAGGTCAGATGCCAAACAAGAAAACTGAAACTTATTAGAGAATTAAAGAGACACTCTTTTTCCCTATATTTATTGCCTTACCATTGTCAACCTCTAGAATAAAAATCTAAAGTTTCTAAACTACTGCAAATACATTATTTTGCCACATAAAAACGGTTGGGATGCTATCCAAAGGGCCCACATGAATGAGCCTCCACTGTCCTGTTGTATGTGAATGAGGTTAGGCTGAGGTAAATTGCATCGTTTGCAAATTAGATGGGAGGCAGCCACCTTTTATTGTAGGTAAATTAAAGAGTGACATATGGTGACCTTGTTTCATATGAAACTTGATTACAGATTATATGTTAAGGACATGGGGCAAGGAATATTCCCAACAGATTTCTAAACTGCAAATTTTAGTTCACCGAGGTACAATAATATTTAGCATCCATTGAATATCAAATTCAAACCACCTATAAGAGCACCATCAATTAAACAAAATATTGTATAAAAAGTGCTTATTGTAAGATGCATAAAAGTGAGTTAACTCTTAATCAACTAAACATTATATGCTGCAAACATTAAAAAGGTAAAAGCAGATAAATTAATAATTTTACTTTGCTTACCTATTTTATGTTGATAAATAAAAAAATAAAAACACTATTCATCTCACTTTGTTGATCAAAGTAAAAATCATTTAAAGAAACATCACAAAATATAATCGAATGATACATGAAAGTTGGTTCCCCCAGCAATACAAGTCCCAAGGGAATCAAATTACAGACCAAGAAAAAAAATCTTCACCTCACAAGCTTGTTATACAAAGTAAGAACCATTTAAAGATCACTTCAATCAAGTCACATATTACATGAAAAGAGATTCATCTGCCTAAGTTTTTTACTTGTTGGAATCTACTTCAATCAAATTCCTCCAGGCCTTCAAAAAGGCTTTTTTAATATATTAAAATAAATATCCCCAATCTACTAAATAATGTCTCGATTTACAGGATGTCTACAACACTGCAAGAGAGGTTAATCGCTTGGCCTGATGGTGTCCAAAGATATATTGGCTGGGGGGACAATATCTCCCATTAAGAAAGAATAGACATTCTTTGGGTTCCAATGGAATTGTGGAGGGAAGGCTTCACCAAGAATAAGTGATACAGAGGTTTCAGGAGACCCTGAGTGATGCCAACCTGGATACCTTCCGTCCTGTTGCTGTTATATAATCAATTAGATCTGAATTTATGCATGTTAAAAAAAGAGCGCTTTATAAATGTCTAACTGTCCAGTTTATGTACTCATGGAATTTGCTTTTAGATAAGCAAGAGAAGTTTTATACGTTTTAAATGTCCAGTTCACATGTGCATGAAAAACGGAGAGCAGAAATGCTATAATGTGCATATAAAGATAATTGCATTATTGACTGCAATCACAATATTACCATAGTATATGTGCACTAAGATTTCTGCCTTTCTGATGATCTTGTTTCATCTATGTACATGGCAATACTATATTATGAATTTGGGACTGAGAGAGCGTCCCTGAATCCATGAGAATTCTGTTTGTAAACTGCCTCTGGGAAATGCACAGAAAGAATACAGAGCCACCCTGAGAGAGAGGGAGCCACAGAGCGATAAGCAGAGAGTAAATGCAGAATAGGATGAGGATGGAGATGCTACACAAGGGCTATCTGGCCTTTATAACGCAGGATTCTTCCCCTCCCCTTTATCTCAGTTAATGCTCCAGCCTGCATGAAATCCTAACAGTCACTTAGCTCTATACAATGCCGTGGCCAAGTCCTTGGCTGTCCTCCATTTACAGCTCCTACTACTACAAGCTACAAGCCTCACAGCAGTTTTCATGGGGGCATGATCAGTTATTCCCCAATTGTGAGTAATAATTTGGCAACCCATGTTAGGTCCTCACTTATAGTTAGACTGCTTTAAGGCCAGTTCACAATGTTATTTCTAAAAAATATGTCTTCTATTGTCCGGCTCAATTTGGCCCATGGTCTGGTCTGGCAGAGCGTCATGCTGGCTGCGTTCGGGCTTGTGGCAGTACATGCAGAGCTATGCATCATCTTCCATCTTGGGAAGCCACATTTGCAGAGTGGTTTGTTTTGGGATAGTTGCAGGCACAATTTGGCTATGTGCGACCACATAGTATGGAGATACAGGCCTGGTTTTGGTCACATGGTATTTTGTTGGGCCCTTGTGCCCCCTTTTTCACTCTTTATTGCGCATGTTCTTCATTCAGCCTCTCATGATAACGAACTGCCCCTTTCTCATTTGGACTTGGTAAGGGTACATGTTGGCTGGTTATGGTTTGCCACATTGTGGCACCAGTCTGTCACTATTGAGGCAGTGAGCCCTGGGCTCATCCTCCATTTTCCAATTAGCATCTTCTGGATGTTGTCCAATATTTGGTCAGGTAACAATTCCATGCAAGTCCATGCAAAAACCATTAGGGATGTGATTGGCAAAAAATTTGGTTTGGTTCGGTTCGGCACGTCCCAAATTCGTGAATTCGGCACCTCGGCAATTCTGGACTTCAGTTCGGTTCGGCACTTGCGAAATTCGGGACTTTGCCAATTCGCCACTTCTCTAATTCCCTAACCCTCACGCCTACCCCTTAACCTTCCCCTAACCTTCTTCCTAAGTGTAGAACTGAACGCAGGTGATGCTGGAAGTCCAGCAGTGTTCGTGAGTTTCTGTGTCCGTTTTCAGTTCCATGAACTCGACAACCAAACACAGCTGCCTGCATTCGTGAGAACAAGATGGCCGCCACCTCATGGTCATCCATAGGAAATGCAGCTACCCAGATGAACACTTGATGTGAAATTGCTACAAAGTAGCAATTAGGCTTAACAAGCTCCCAGGTGGTCTCCGGTTCGTGTGGCTGTTCAGTTCCCGAACAATATAGTCCAAATACACGAACTGAGACTTTTACAGTGCATTTCAAGTCTGTGGCCAGGAGGCTGGCAAGCAGGCTCCTCCAGGAGCTGGTGGCAAACTCACGTGAGAAGGGGAGTTTGTCACAGAACCCATCTAAAAAAAAAAAATCATCTCTTGACCCGTCCTTCCCCCTAACTATCGTCCCATATGCCTGCACCCTTTTCCTCATTGCTTCTGGAAAAACTTGTATTTACCCTTATGTCTCACTTCCTCAATTCCAACTCTCTCCTTGACCCCCTTCAGTTTGGCTTCCACCCTCTCCACTCTACTGAGACTGCTCTTATTAAAGTCACTAACGACCTAATCACAGCTAAATCCAAAGGGTACAACTCCATACTAATTCTTCTTGACCTCTCTGCTGCCTTTGACACTGTTGACCATGTTCTCCTTCTCCAAACTCTTCAATCACTCAGTCTTTGTGATATTGTCCTCTCTTGGTTTTCCTCCTATCTCTCCCAACGCTCATTCATTGTCTCCTTTTCTAATGATTCCCCCTCCCTACGCCCTGTCTCTGTTGGAGTCCCCGAAGGCACTGTACTTGGTCCCCTTATACTGCCTCTCTTAGCAAACTTTTTACCTCATATGGATTCCAAAACCACCTGTATGCTGATGACACCCAGATATATCTCTCCTCCCCAGACCTCTACCCTGCGGTTCTGCAACGTGTCACTGCTTGCCTTTCTTCCATCTCTGATTGGATGTCCTCCCGCTTTTTGAAACTCAATTTCTCTAAAATGAACTTCTTGAATTTCCTCCTACCAATAATGATACTCCTCTATCGTGCTCCCTTTAAGTTGGTGGTACCCACATCAGCCCATCTTTGCAAGCGCGCTGTCTTGGCGTTATATTTGATTCTGGCCCCACATTTGAGCCTCACATCCAGTCTGTAACCAAATCCTGTAGATTCCACCTTAAAAAAATAGCCTGCATCTGCCCTTTTCTTATGCAAGATGCTACTAGTAATCTCTCGCATGGATTATTGTAACTCTCTCCTAATAGGTCTTCCCACAAGTCGTATTGCCCTGCTACAGTCTGTAATGAATGCTGCAGCTAGACTGATTTTCCTCTCCTGTCGCCCCTCTCACACCTTTCCCCTCTGTCAGTCCTTACATTGACTTCCTGTATCCTATAGGAGTCAATTAAAGGTACTAACCCACACCTATTGTACCCTGATGCAGCTTCTGGTACTGGATACCAGAAGCCATCACCAGACTGATCCGTAACTTGGAACAGTATGTGACATTCACTGTTGCGGCTGTGCGCGCTTTTGGCACTCACCCTGCTGCTGCTCGCCTGTCTTCGGCCTTCCCGCTCACCGCCTCATGAGACTGTGCGAGCAGCAGCAGGCGATAGTGGAGTTTCAGCTGCAGCACGCACGGGTCAGTGGCTCTGCACCAGACTTCCCTCCAACTGATCAGAGTTAAAGGATTTCAAGTGGACTCATTACAATTACAGGGCCTCTAAATAGTCCTGTATTGTTATTTGTCATCACTACCTTTCCACGTGAGGAGTGGGTCATTTGCGGGCCTGCTGCCATCCTTGCATGTGGTAGCCGTTTCTCAGGGTTTCTGTACGGAATGGAACCCTGATTCCCCGTTACCCGTGGTCACTAGGGTAGGCGCAGAAACTGGCATCGAAAGTTGATGAATGACATCCGAATGCAAAGTCGCCGTCACGGGGATGTGTGATTGGCCCGAGGTTCTCTAGAGTCAACAAAGTGCCTGTGCAACTATGTCAATAGCTACTCTTCGGAACAGAGTTGTCTTTTTTATATGTCCCAATAAAAAAAACAAAAAAAAAACAAACCAGTGTTGGCTACCTCATCCTCCTCCTCCACCACTGCTTCCACCTACACTGCCACGGTCACCGCCTCCTCAATCTATGGGTCACTTAGTATAAACTATGTAGACGTTAGCAGAGGCTTGTGAAGGCCTTTTCTCCATGCATCAGAAGTTGAGCATTTCTCCATGCATCAGGACTGCAAGAAATGCACCGCAGGCCGCAAATGTTTTTTTTTTTTATATATCTCCCAATATTTTTGGGGCTACCCCAATTAAAAAAAACAAAAACAAAAACAAATAAACAGTGTTGGCTACCTCATCCTCCTCCTCCACCGCCGCTTCCACCTACACCGCCACGGTCACCACCTCCCCAACCTATGGGTCACTTAGTATAAACTACGTACACAATAGCAGAGGCTTGTGAAGGCCTTTTCTCCATGCATTAGGAGTTGAGCTCAATTTGAACAATGAAAGAGAATACCCTGCACTCCAACCCTCTCTCAAATGGATAATTCTGGTGAACCTCCTGACAGCCATGCTTTAGATTTTGATTTATGTTCTTCCAAAGCTAAAATCAAAGATTCCATGTTATGTTATTTTAAGTGATTTCCCTATCCAAATTTGTTTGCTGGGCACTTGTCCTTACCCCCTCTTACCCACATTTTACTTCCTTTTGCAGCTCTCTAGCCCTTTTCAGGAGTTTTTTAGAGGCATTTTTGTGTCCAAAAGTTCAGGTCCCCATTGACTTCAATGTGGTTCGGGGTCAAGTTCAAGCCTGAACCCGGACTTTTTTTCAAAGTTCGGCCGAACCCTCTGGACCCGAACATCCAAGTGTCCGCTCAACGCTACTCATGTGCCATTTGGACAGACGCAGCAAGTACAGTTGGCAATGCCACTATATAGGATAATGAGTGGATCCAGGCACACTGGCCCCCTGAGGTGAACAAGTTACTTGATTTTGCAAATTCTTCAGCATTGTTCGACTATTTTTCTGTGTTAGTAGCAGCATGAGTATGGGGTAAAGGACAAGCAGTTAGGTGCTTAGTTTACAATCAGGCTGCTTGCCATTTTATCAACAAAGGTCGTTCGCACTCATTAGTAAGAAAACTGACCGGGCTGGCAGCTACTCTCCAATTTTATGTCATATTTACTCATATCCATGGAGTTTATAACTTAGCCGCTGATGCTTTGTCCCGCTTTAAATTGCAGGAGTTTTTCAGGTTTCATCTATGACTAGTTCCTGGACTTCCAGGAACTAGTCATGGACTAAGTGTGCTGTTATTCCACAGTAACACTCTGGGTTAAATAGGACTAATCGATAATACCAGGAAAACTTATGATATTACAGATTTTTGCTGATTTCAAGATAATTAACCCTCTTTTTTACATTGAAACCCTGGTTGCCTTCACTACTCTTTACCACATCTATATCTTACAGGATTTCAACATCATATGCTCACTTCATTCCCTAATAACATACCTTAACTTTTCTACTATTCCATTAAAAGTGTCTTAAAAGGTATCAAAAACTTATTGTCATGGGGGGCGGGGCCTGACTGCTGTGGTGATATTAACTGTAACGGATCACCTGGCACCCCGACTGGGTACCTCCATTAAAGGATGCTCCTAGTGCTTCCTGAGGACTCCAAGCACTGCAGCAGACACCACAACCACCGAACCGGAGAAGCATATGAATGCTCTCAAGCATATGAACGTTGAATACAGTCGAATAGGAAAAACCATGCGAATAGGTTTACACTCCTAGCAGTCAAACTGGAACAGCATACAATAAATCCTCCCCCAATAATGAGACGACACTTCACTTTGAGGGTTAAGCAGGAACTGTATGTACTGGCACATACAGCCTCTTTTATTCCCAATCCACAAACTTAGTACTGCACACAGGGTTTTACAGAACAACCAATACGTACATTACAGAAAACACTCCCAGCAATTATACACAAAATTCTCCCCTCTGCTTGTGATCTAATTATGGCACACAATGTGTTAACCTAATTATCACAAGCAGGAAAAATACAGTATCATAAAACACATCACAGGGACCCCAAAACACACAATAACCCCATAAAACCGAGGGATCTGGGTGAACCACATATCCAAAATTCACCCAGATCCGTTCAGTACTTTGGAAGATACAGTTTAATGCAGATTCTGCAGAACATATACAGGCTAAATGAAAACAATCACTGTATAATGTGTCCCCTGCTGTATAGTCCAAAACCACTGCATGATGTCTCTGTGCACCAAATACTGGCGAGATGGCACCGTGTTGAAAAGTCCAAACAGTGTCTGTGAGTTAAAATGGCCGCCATACATTGTTCTCACCATGTGCTTCATCCATTGTTCTCACCATGTGCCTCTGATACAGGAAATGGTGGCCACCCAGTAACTCCACAGTATGTCCCCAGATGGTTCTTTAAGGGCCAGCAGCAGCACAACACAAATCCCTTATGCCCAAATCATGTCTTTAAAGGGCAATACATCCCAGGGGCCATAGTCACATGGCAGAAGGCTGGCAATCAGTCTTCTCCAATGCCCAGTGGCGAGGTCGGTTTTGCCACATTAACATCGCCACTTGTGCCTGGAGAGGACTGATTGCCAGCCTCCTGCCATGTGACTATGGCCCCTGGGATGTATTGCCTGCTCTCTTGTACTGCTGAGGATTGCTACCAACTAGGTGGATTTGGCTATGGAGCTTGTGTAGTGCCCTCTGTTGGTAACAACAGTAATATGCACTACCTGAATAGCAAGACTGGTAATTTGCATATTCGGGTAGATTTGCATATCGCTAATTCTGCATGCAGGAGAGACATTTTGTGTTAATTATGGTCTTCCCCACCCATTTATAAAATATGTAATTATGTTCTTATAAGTCACTATATGTTGCCTGCTATGATTTGACTGTTTGTAATTTTATTGAGTTTTCACAGCAATGTTAAATGTAATGACCATATGGGCTAGTCCCAAGTAAAATAAAGTTTTAGACAGTTCTTCTTCACCCTCAATATGAGTCTTGTCTCTTATTGGGGGAATCTGCTACAAGGGATTGTTATGCTCGTCATACTCTCTTGCTATAATCACTGAGCTCTTGTAAGAGCTGTTCTGTTCCTGTTACGCTCTCTGGGGCAAGAGAGGTTCAACCACTGGAAGCTGGATCCTGGCCTTGGGTCCAGTGTGGGTGGAGACAGCGAGACCCTGGCGCAGCTGCATCGCTGAAAGTGGGGTCTGCAGTGCTGATGGTGTCGGTTGGAGTGCTTGGAGTCCTCGGCAAGCACTAGGAGCATTGATTGGCGGAGGTACTCGGTCGGAGTGCCAGCGGTCCGTCACAACTGCCATGGAGGGAAGACGTGCCTAACTGAAGCTCCTGACTAATCTGTGTAAAAAAGCTACAAAGGCACCTCCAAACCACATGAAATGGCACACAATGACACCTAGCGACGACCTGGTACTCAGTCCACACGGTGATGCGGCTCGTGAATGGACAATGGACAGCAGGCTATAACCACGGAGACATGCGGCCGGGAGCATGATGGAGGGGAGCGGCGGCCGAGTTCCCTGCCTGGAGCGGCCCGAGAGCTGATTGCCATGCGCGAGTACCCCGCAACCCCCCCTATGGACTGGTGGGGGTGATCCCGGTCCACTACTGGGAGTCCTCCCAGCCATGGCAGACACAGAGAAACCCATCGGAGGGCCAAGAGACTCACCAAAGATGGCGCGACCACGTGGCCTGTGAGCAGCCAGGTGGAACAACAAGCCCCTGTGTCCAGCTTGGAACAAATATTTATAAATTTCTGGCAGAAGCTTGAATGCAGACTGCGACAGGGAATCCAGCACACACCAAACTTAAGCTTCCCACCATGCCATTCACTGCCCGACCCACAGCGAAAATCGGCACACCCGTAGAGACACAAAACTGCGAGAAGGCGGCAGAGAAACAGGCAGACACCTTACCCACGCAGGGTGACGAAGAGAAGAACACTGCCAGCAATGATATCAGAGGAAGAGCCAGAGCACGATCTTATGAAATCACAACACAAGGTGGTCCCTGCCATTGGCAACACATATGTGCACATTTTAACAAAATGATGAACTTGTAGCATAGTATAGTGACAACACAGTTAACACTAAAAGTATAAAGTAGTCTGAATTATCCCTCAAGTCGTCTGTATATACAATGGTACCTTTATGAGTTCTGCTCTTGACCCTAAAGGAGAGGGTCGTATTAGAGAAGAAGAGAAAAGTGTAAGTAGAAAGAAGAGATAGAAAAGAGAAGAAATTAGGAGGGGCGAGGGAGGGGCCAGGGGCCAAGGCCCCCAGCAGGGGGGAGGGAAGTGGGAGGGAAGGGGGAGGAAAGGGGAGAGAGAGGCACCCAAAGGCATCACCGATACGGGAATACTCAAGCCCCCGGTGGCTGCGGACACCTAGGTTAATCTCAGCTCCCTTTTTCTATCACATATGAAATTGTGTCCAGTAAAGGTTTTAGATGACCTCACTAAAGCACTTACAGGTAATATCCCTGGCTCCCCTTTGCTACCATTACATGGAAATCTTCTTACTACACAAAAATTTATTCTATACCCTAGAATCCTACTAGTTAGATGTCTAAATCCTACTTTACCAGGTCACTTTTTCCGCATAGGAGCCGCTTCTTCTGCTTTCAGTCACAACATTTGGCACACCACAACTGACTTTTCTATATTTTACATGATAATATTATCGGCTTATAGTATCCAACAATAAATATAAAGGCGGGAGCCTGTAGTTGTGGGAGGGGTTATACAGCTTTTATAATGACGGATTCCCTTCCCCTATCCTGCCATCAGTGTTGGAGTTCCCTCCTCTACCTTTATTTAACAAATTAACTTCCAGATGGGCACTCTTTATTATAGGCCTAACCACAACCAAATGGAGCATGTTGGGAATGCACTGTGCAAAAGTTGCGCTAGGGAACTCCTGTATTGACCAGTCATGAATTCCCAGATTTCATAAATGGTAAATGCCTTGCAAGTTAAAGAGAGAATCAAAAGGAGTCAATATAATCTAGAGAATTTCAAGAGAGTGCTTGGTAAAGAAATGTCACTGATCTATTTACATGGGATTAAAACAGTTGTCTAGTACAGGTGGACTTCTGTGGTGAATATCATG